TTATATTTTTATTTGTAAATATGAAAAGTTATGATATAAAAAATTATATTATATTATATTAATATTTTTTATTTGTATATATATATATATATATATATATATATATAAATATATTTTTTTTTTTTTTGCAGTGCATGCAACATTTAATACCATGATTTTATGAATTTAAGACTTTCTGCTCTGGTTTAAGACATTTTTAGGCCTTTATTTGTGGAAGGGTAAATTAATACTTTTTAAGACCTGCAGAAACCCTGCAAAATGAATATTTCTAATGATGATGGGACTCTGTTTAGACAATTTTCTTTCTTCTTTGGCTCACAGTTTTAGCATTTTAATGTCAAAAAAATTAAATTCAGTTCACGGTTGCAATCATCACAAACACAGTAGTGATCTGTTATAATGTCTGTGTTGAGCTTGCGAAGCAGATACAAACCTCAGCGTCAGTGTTTGCTGCACAAACTCTCATCTCATCATCCAAACACAAACAAAAACAAAAACACTCAAACTCATTCAGTATTGCTTCGTTTATTAGGCCCTTTATTTTTATACAGGACGGGACTGAGTTTGACTTCCTGAATATCGTACAGTGAGCAGAGAGGTAGAAAACCCAGTTGAATTCACAAAATCCCTGAAACACAAACAGAGACAGACCGTTATATGGGCAAAACTCGATGCATTAAAAAATAGGTATTAAAAGCGAGTGATGCTTAAGAAACTCTTCCTGCAATTAATGCATTTTTGCATTTAAAAGTATCAATAAATGATATCAGATGAAAACATTTTACTTTCATGGAAGGAAACACCACACTGAACACCCTAGCAACCACCCACAACCACATAGCAACACCCTTGTGATCGCCAAGGCTCCTAAACCCAAACACTTAATAGTTAGTAAGATATTCAATATACTGACATTGTCACTTGCACACAGCACTTTCTGTTTATTTTTTTTCTCTATTGCTGCTATGTAACTACCCTGTACAACCTGTTTGCACATTCCTGCTCATCTTATCTTAAAAAAATATTTATTAAGTCTACAGTATACTGTCCTGCACATTTTATTTTACTCTTTATTTTTTATTTAATTTTTTCCATACCTATATTTACATATTATTTTCCCTTTGTGTTTGTATTCTATAATAATTGCACTGTCCATGGAGCGGACCTGACTTACATCTCACTGCTGGTTATATATTCTCTATATAACCGTGTACGTGATGAATAAAAATCTTGAATTTTGACTACTAAAACTGAAATAAAAATGTATAAAATTCAGACATTAAATTTTTATTTTTAGTCAATGTTTTAATAATTTTATTTTTTTGTGATTTTTATTAGTTGTTTTTTTTAATGTGTATATTGTTTTTACTCATTTTAATTTCAGTTTTAGTTATTTTATTACATCAAGTTTATCACAGCTGGTTTTATGGGAAACTGATCAAAATTAAGGGAGTTTATGATTAAAACAAGATCAAATATCTGCCAGCTGGTTTACAAAAATCAACTTAAGTCAAAGAAAAAAAAGCTTGATTTAACAATGTTTAGATATTTGTATTTGAAAACAAAACAAAAATGACTTAAGACACATACTACATATACATATACATTAAAAAAAATATATATATTTTTTAATGTATTTATTTATTTTGCAGTGCATGCAACATTTAATACCATATATATATATATATATACATTTAAATTTATTTTAAATTTATATTTATATTATTATATACCCCTAGCAACCACATAGCAACGCCCTAGTGACCATCCACAACCCCTAGCAACCACATAGCAACGCCCTAGTGACCACCCACAACCCCTAGCAACCACATGATAAGAAACCAACTTGTTTGTTAGCTGCGTTGAGGAATCCGAGCAGAATCAGGCTTTATGGATGCCCAGCTCTTCTGGAGTGGAGATGCCCAGCTCCTGCAGCGTGGGTTTGAGCTCCTGGATCACATACGGATAGATCTCCTTATGAGGACCAGACTTATCCTGAGAAATAACAGAGCGTGTGTGGCATGTTAATTAACCTCCTGCCCAGTGGATTCGACCGAGCTGTAATTAAGCAAGCATGACCTTTTCAGTGTGAATGAAGATTAGACTTCAGTAATAATGCAGCAGAAACACTGCAGACACATCAGGATCTTCATGCCTCTGTGATTTCACTTCTAATTTCCTTTTTAATTAAAGTGCCCCTATTATGGATTTTTTAAAATGACCTTTGTAACACAGCTTTAAGTGAATGAAAACATCCTGCAAAGTTTTAACTCTGAAAGTGCACCGTATATAAAGTTATTGTCTCTCAAAAGAAAGACTCTGAATCATTTAAACGAGTCGTTTTTAAAACGAATCCCAAGCCGTTTCATGTTGACGTCAACATGCCTGAAGAATCAATGGTTAAAGTTCATTTTTACAGCAATACCACAGCAGTACAGATAAATGTGATATATGTGGCGGCAGAAAACAATCGTCATTTAAATATATCACGCCCCTAAAAACACCGCGGTTTAGAAGCCACGCCCCTAGAGTTTACGACACGGAGAAACGAAACCCGGCCAAAAAGAGGAATATCTTACTTCAAAAACACCCGTTAACCTTGTAATTGCAAACAATTAGGCTACATTAATTTATGTAATTTATATGTATATTAAAATACTGGTAAATATAAACATTACAGCCTATTTCCCTCACTCTACAACAAATATTTTAACTTTAACGGTATTCAGAACAGAACAAGAATGAAAAATAAGTAGTTGTAATAAAAAAAAACATAAATTAGGCTATAATGGCAAACAGCATACAAACTGAAACGGCATTATCTCATACCACAAGAATCCAAATGTTGCCATTTTTGCAATATTTGCAACATTTGGTTGCTTAACTATTATTCATTATGTCGCCTAAACAAGGCTTTATACTTCACTCATGTTCTAATATCCGTGTAAAATCCTTCACATGGGCGCTGCACGCTGATCTTACAGCGGACCTTTTAAAACAAACCGTGCAACTTTTATGTTTGCTTGACTGTATTTTAGTTTGATGATGAATGGCTGAAATGTCAGGCAACGCTAGAACTAATGTTTGTGTGAGGCGCCTGTGCGATCAGATGGATTAAATCAAACAAAGATATAAAGAAAAGAAATAAAATGCATTAAGAGTGTCACAAAAACGAGCCTATGTTTTTTCTGTTAATCTGTTAATTATATTACAGCCTATTATATATTTTGTGTGGTTCTATTTATTTTATTCCTTTTCTAGACTTAGAAAGTAACCTAAATGAACAAAATGCTGTCATTCCTACAAAAAATGAATCGTTTGAGCGAATCGTTTGGGAGTCGTTGAGCAAATAAGGTAAAAATAAATGCATATAATAAGACAATTGAACTTGCATGCATGTCAACCTGTTGTTGGGGACTCCCAAAACCAAAATATGAACCTTTCATAACCCATAATAGGGGCACTTTAATAAATAGTCTGTAGATTAATAAAAGCATTAAAGATAAACGTGTTTTAATTACTTTAAGGAATAGTTCAGGCAAAAATGAAAATTTGCTGAATGTATTCACCCTCAGGTCATATGAGATATGAGTTTATTTCTTCATCAGATTTGGAGAAATGTAGCATTGCATCACTCACCTAACAACGCCCCTTAGCTGTTATAAATTCACTGTAAACCACGGCTTCTTGGGGCTTATTGCTTTATTTTAAATAAAATAGACTAAATAATATAGAGGGATAATACTATTTTATTTCAAAATAAAAAGGTAGTATTAAATACAAATGCAATTATTTTATAGTAAACTTAAAAATAAAATGCTAATATTTTTATTATTATTATTATTTTAATTAGAATTTTCATTATTTTCAAACTTAAAATCAGCAAGCTTTTATTTTGGCGGGTTGCCGGCAAGTAAGTATATACGCTTATTAATTTTGGTTGCGCATGCGGACCACTTATGTGCACCCCTGGTTATTATGGATTACGAACTCGTATTTGAGTTAAAAACATCTTAATGCTGGATTTGTCTCAGCTTTTGTCTTCTCCAGATGTTAACTGATGGACTGGAGTGCTGTGGATTACTTGTGGATTATTGTGATGTTTTTATCAGTTGTTTGGACTCTCATTCTGACGGCACCCATTCACTGCAGAGCATCCATTGCTGAGACACTGATGCAATGCTACATTTCTACAAACCTGATGAAGAAACAAACTCACCCTGATCTGGGATGGACTGAGGATGACTAAAATTTCCACATTTAATTTTTGGGTGAACTACTCCTTTACCATGAAAGCATAAACTCTTTTCTAGCTGAGCGTTTGTTTCTCTCACTTTGACGGCCTCGAGGATGCGGATCGCATTGGCCAGATCATTCAGTCTCCTGCAGGCGCGCAGAGCAGAGTCCAGGATCTTCGGCTCTGGAACGAGGTCGTATCCAATCAGAGTGTTCATTCCTGGACAGAACGAATAGAAAATCACAAACATATTCATGAACACATCGGCTTTCAACATCAGAAATGTTTTTTGAGCAGCAAATCAGCATATTAGAATGATTTCTGAAGATCATGTGACACTGAAGACTGGAGTAATGATGCTGAAAATACAGCTGCACATCACAGAAATAAATTACAGGCAAGCCAAAAATTATTCAGACACCAGATATAATATTTGATTTTTTTTTTACTAGTCGATGCAGGACACTATAGTTAATTTATGTACGCGAGGATAGCAAAATAAAGTAAAGTGTGACATATTATACCCAAAATTCTTCATACCAGTAAAATTGACCAAAAATTATTCAGACACTTTGACCTGAACATGTTTGGCTTAAGCAGGGTTTCTACAGACTTGAACAAGTTAAACGCAAGACTTTTTAAGATCTTTTTAATACCAGCTTATATGAAATTTAAGACCTAAACCTGTAATGGAAAC